TTCTTTACTGAATATTGTATAGCCAATAAAATTTATAATTGAATAAGTTATAATATTTTTAAAACAAAAAAGTATATTTCTTAATTTTTGTGCTTTTATCAACAACTTATATTATGGAATAGAGGAAGTATAAGAGGATTTGCTTAAGAAGAGATTCAAATAAAATCCGTCGCTTAAGCAGTCCCCACCTATGTCATGTCTTGCTACCTCCTCCCGAAAGAAATGACCGATAAACTTATGAGTGTGATCTCTAACTTCTGGTAGAGCTCAAAACAAGAAAGTAGAGGTATGCACTGGATTAGATGGGATAAACTATGTTTCCCAAAAGCATTGGGTGGTTTGGGATTCCGCGATCTGCGAGATTTTAACCTAGCTCTTCTAGCTAAACAATTGTGGCGTCTGATCCAATTTCTCTCCTCTCTCCTAGCTAGAGTTTTAAGAGGATGCTACTATAGGCAATATAACCCGCTAGGTGATCATAGAACGTATTCCCCCTCACTTGGGTGGCAGAGTCTCATGGCTGCAAAACCCCTTTTACAAAGCGGCCTCCAGAAGACGATAGGATCTGGTTTCAACACGAAAGTGTGGAATGAGCCATGAGTCCCAGACGTACCTGTTAGGCCAGCAAGACCCACAAATCCTGATCTTCAGAGAGATTCACAGCTTCGGGTCCATTCTTTAATATTGCATACTACAAAAGAATGAGATTTGGAATGCCTTGAGGACTTATTCCACCCTTTGGATATTCCCCTGATTCTAGGGTTACGGCCAAGTCGCGTTTTCTCCATTGATGGGTATGCATGGAGCCATTCGAAATCAGGAGCCTATATAGTAAAATTTGGATATCTTCAGGCAAGATTATTACGGGCAGCCAAATAGATAGAAGGAGCCTCGGAACCAAGCATCACACCTCTCCTCAGCCATGTATAGGAAGTGCCGACTGCTAGCAAACTCTAACATTTCATGTGGCAGTCTTTATCGGGATGTGTGGCCACTTCCGAGCAGCTCAGATATTGACACATTTTGGTGGACGCTTTATGTCCAAGGTGTGGAGCATCGGAAGAAACGATTAACCACCTTCTCTTCGAATGCCCCTTTACGTTGCAAGTGTGGGCCCTTTCAGTATTTCGGTCACTTCCGGGTTACTTCCCGAGTATATCTCTATACCAAAATATAGATTTTATATTTTGGAGAGCAAAGGAAAGGGGTCCCTCCAGACCCCAAAAGGATATCTATCCTTGGATCTTGTTGTTTATCTGGAAAGCAAAAAATGAAAAAAATCTTTAAAGGCAATGTAATTCATTCGACAGATACGTTCCAATCTGCTTCCGTCGAGGCAGAAAGCTGGAGACTAGCCAACCAGAAGGAGGAAGAAGACGAAGAAGAATCTCCCATGCGGTCCAGTGCCCGGAACCTTATCCCTATGCCTCTCCTTGGCTCGGGTTGCCAAGTTGATGAATCCTGGATAGGCCATGAACTGACTAGCGGATTAGGGTGGTACTTTGACGATGACTAGCGGTCTTACATGCCCCTTTATTCTATATCTTCTGAAGTCTTCTGATTATATAGAACAAAGGGGTGGGTCGAATGAAATGTGTTGCTTCCCCAAGTTTCCTTAATCGGCTCCAATAATTTTCCATTTGGTGGTTTAAGTAGATTTGGCAGTTTAGGGTGATTCTCTTCTATTTTGATTAAAACTGGACATGGTTTAGCTTGGTCAGGACATGCTCTTGGACATATGAAATGCTGGCGTTTTGATATAAAGTCCTTAGCTCCTTTGCAATCAGCTACAAGTCTTCTTTGCTCCTTATCTTCAAGCAAAACAGGTCTAGCTCATCTCCTTTGTGTTTCTCCTTGATATAAGCATTGATGCTTACATCATACTCTTCCTCTTGAAGAGGTTTTGTCCTCAAAACATTAGTAACTGCATCAAACAAAGTTAAGTTAGCTTCTGTAAAATTTTGAGAGTTAGAAACTTACCTTGTTGCTTCTTTAATTCATTAGCCTTTAAATGGTCTAATAGGGAGGCAAATAGAATGTCTTTAGCTTCAGTGAGAGTCAATGTTGATCTCAGCTGAAGTATGGGAGGTTTCTTTGCCTTGTATTCCACGTTCTCATGCTGGTGTACCACGTTCTTGGTCCCTTGCACTTGCTCTTTAATGGCATTGGCTTATAAAGCATGGTTTGTTGCTTTGTAGTTGAAGAAACTCTTTGGGTAAATTTGAGGAATTTTTGGTACCATATCTTTTGGTGCATACTTATCCCTTAGTAATGCTTTGAGATCTCCCCAGATTGTTATGGTTGGCTCCTTGTAGAACCAGTGGTTATCTTCTTCTTGCAACCACGATTTATAAACATCTCCAGCAAATTGGCCAATTGCATAAACTAATCTCTCCTCTTTCAGGATGTTGTTGTAGTAAAACAATTCATCTATGTTTCTTTCCCACTCTAGGTAGTTTTCTTTGCCTGAAAATGCATAGGGTTGAAGTTTATTAGCAGATTGATAATCAAAATTAAAATAAACTTGAGAATTGAGAGCATGAGAGGTTTTAGGTGGGTTGCTCCATGTTGAACTCCATGAGTTATCTGTCTGCTTAGGATGCTGCTCTTTAAGTCCTACAGCTTCTCTATATCCTCCTTGTGATTCGTCATCTTCAGTTATGGACTCTTCCATAGGGTTGTTTTCCTCATAGTCTTCTCCCCATTCATCTTCTTCTTTTCCATACCATCTCTTGTAGCTTGAGGGGATTATTTTCTCCTCTGCCTAGATCATGACTATGGTCAGTTTCGTCCTCAGTCCATGGTGGGAATTCATAGCCAGCCTCCTCTTCGAAAAAGGCAAGGCTCTCTTCTTCTTGACTCCATTGGTCATTGAAGGGTTGATAAGGGCTCTCCTCATATGTGCTTCTGGTTTTTTTTTTATCTCTAAGTTCACCTAGCAAATAAGATCAAAGGAGATGTATCAAACATGTAAAAAGGAAAATTCTTTTTATGTGGTTTTCTGATTTAATAAAACAAAATTAACAAATGAATGCAAAACAAATAGTTTAAACAGTTTTAAACTAGGTGTAGGAAGATTGGTTCAAAAATTAGCAAATGATTCGTAAATTCAAAAGAGATATTTTTGTGGTTTTTAAGAGTTTAATAAATTAGAAACAAGAAACAAAATATCTTTATGGGTTTTAAATTTTTTTATAAAAATCGCAGAAGACAGATGAACAATAAACAATTTTTTACGATTTTTTTTTGATTTATAAGAAACAGAACTTAAATTGAATGAAAATAAACAGCAAAAACTTGAGATAGGGATTGAAAACACCTGGGATAGGGAGCTTTTAGCTCTGATACCAATGATGTAGACTTGAAAATGGATTCAAGAATACTCCTTTGAAATCTGTTGCTTGAAGCTAGAGTGGATGGAAGAGTAGCTTGATGGTTGAAAAGCTGGTTATATTTGATGACCCTAAACACAAGGATTAGACTCTAGTTCTTCAAAAGCTAATCTTCATAAGAATAAATAGATTCTACACGCCTTACAAGTCTTCTGAATCCCTCAAAGATGACTAGTAATTCGCAGGAACAAATGTATTCAAAAGAAAACCTTTCTTTAGAAAGCAAAATAATACTTTCTTGATTATAACTTGGGTAACTTTGAAAATACAAATGTTTGAGCTTGTATAAGGCTCGAACTTAGATAAATAAAACGGTAATAAGTTTTAAAGCCAAAGCAAAGAAAGAGGCATAAGTGAAGGGATGTTAACTAACCATTTGGCTTAAATGGGGATGATCTTGACTTGGGCGCTGAAAGGGGGGATTGTTGATGGGTCTTTGGCACGAAATAAGTATGCTGAATCTTCTAAGGATGATGGAGGGTTGAGATTGAGTGAGAGATGTGGTCGTTAGTCTTTGTTTCCATCTTCTCTCCTTAAACAAATAAAATTGGTTCTATCTTTGGTAAGTGCTTCTTTGGTGATATCTTCTTGGTCTTGAGCTGGTTTAATGTGGTTAATGGCTTGATCTGGCGGTTTAGAAATCTTGGTAAACTCTGTAAACCTCAAAGGAGGCGTGAATGAGATGTTAGTATAAGCTATGCTCCTTGTTTCCTTGAATAGCTCTCAATATGTACATGTAGGTCCATATGTTGAATTTGACAGTTCTCCCTTGGTTTGAATCAAGTAACTCCGGTATCTGGCTTGTATATTGGCTTGTATATCTTCTGAAGTCTTCTGATGATATAGAATAAAAGGGTGGGTGAATGAAATGTGTTTCTTCCCCAAGTTTCCTTAATCTGCTCCAATAATGCTCCATTTGGTGGTTTAAGTAGATTTGGCATCTATTTTTATTGAAGCTGGACATGGTTTAGCTTGGTCAAGACGTGCTCTTGGACATATGGAATGCTGGCGTTTTGATATAAAGTCCTTAGCTCCTTTGCAATCAGCTACAAGTCTTCCTTGCTCTTTATCTTCAAGCAAAACAGGTTCTAGCTCATCTCCTTTGTGTTTCTTCTTGATATAAACATCGATGCTTACATCATTCAGAGGGCAACTGGTATGGCAAGAAGGGGTGTCGGAGGTGCCTGTCGCCTCTCCATGCAGAAGTAGAAGGCCTCCTTTGGATAATAGCATGCCTGCAAGAGAGGAGGTGTGTCTCGGTCTGCTTTGAGACGGATTGCATAGACTTGGTAAAGATGGTTGAAGAACCAATCAATTGGCCTGTCTTCACTTTAGAGTTAGATTACTTGGATACCATGCGTTTGAATTTCGAGTCTTTAGTTTATATTTTATCCCTTGTTTGCAAAATGTTAGTGCCGATCGCCTTGTGAAAAGTGTACAAATACAAAATTTTCTTTTATCTCATGTAAATCACAATGAACTGATTAGATTGTACACCTAAATCGGTATAATTTGATTTAATTTATGGAATTTGTTGAAAAAAAAAAATTGCTTTAAGGCCCACAATAAATGTGGGTTCGGCTTTGTAAAACCATTGGTTAAAGGTAACGTTATGCACTTATGCTGAAAATTTAATCCATTCCGCTCCATAAAATATCAGCTTATCATAAAGCTCCACGTATGTGGATAGTTTCCATATATCTCAAGCATTATCAAATGTCTATCAACTTTGAGACAATCTCCGAATGTCTTCAGATTTGAGGTAAATCATTTCCCTCGACTTCTTCTCAGTCTCATCTCTCCCACCTTCCTCAATTTCTTTTATATCTTAATGTTTCGAATGAGTGAACGGGTTTATCAGATTGATTTAAATATTTGTTTGATTGTAATTTGTTGAATCTTTGAGTCGTAGAAGCTGATTTTTATTCTCAATTTCGACCTGAGAAATCTCGATGTGGCTAATAGGTAAATTGAGTTAAATTTTTGGAGTCTTGAGGCAAAAAAGCATGGACATGCATCAATTTCTTATAGTTTCTGTGTTCTTGAGCTCACTGTTACATGGAGATGCTGGGATCACGAGTAGTTTTATTCGATCCGAATGGCCAGCTATTGATATACCACTTGACCATCATGTTTTCAAAGTCCCAAAAGGATATAATGCTCCACAACAAGTAAGTGACTTTGTTTTAATTCTATTTTTTTTTTCTGGGGGTTTTTCATATTTATAGAGTTTTTTTGTCAAGATTTTGTGAGAGAAATGGATTGTTCTTTGCGCTCTGAAACTATGTTAGAAGAAAAATTTGTTAGAGAAAGTTTATTTTCTTTATTTGATTCATTTGATGTGTGTAAACAAGGATCTGTTTCTAAGGGATTTATTCATGCTTATAGAGTTTTTCAAGATTTGGTTAATGTCGTAATCAAAGATGAATATGAAAAAGAGATGCACAAGAGAATGGATTGTTCTTTGCGCTCCATATTAGAAGAAAATATTGTTAGAGAAAATCTGTTTTCTTTATTTGATCTGTGTAAACAAGAAGTTCCTTTCAATTACTAAACCAAGCTAAACCAATTTTTTAACAGGTGCGTATTACTCAAGGTGATTATGATGGAAAGGCTGTTATCATCTCATGGGTGACACCAGATGAACCTGGTTCAAGCAAAGTTCATTACGGCGTCCTGCCAGGAAAATACGACTTTGTGGCTCAAGGGACGTACTCAAACTACACATTTTACAAATACAAGTCTGGTTATACTCATCACTGCCTCGTCTCGGGCCTTGAGGTAACAATCCAAGAAGATTTTGTTTATTGGTATCACTTTCAAGAACCATACCAAGCTGATATAAATTATTCATTTGGTGCCAAAGTGTGAACATGAAACTGTATCAATGGTTTTCTTCTTCTTTTGAACTGTACATAGTTATGCATCCCATTTAGAAAGTGGAATAAGTGTTTCAGTAATTTTAGTTTATACTTTGATGCTTAGATTATATCTGGATGCAGTTTTCTTCCTGTTGATTATTGGGACGATGCTAATCCATATTGTTGGCTTTCAGTATGATACAAAATACTATTACAAGATCGAAAGCGGTGAATCTTCTCGGGAGTTTTGGTTTGTTACACCACCAGATGTACATCCAGATGCTTCTTACAAGTTTGGTATTATAGGTATGTCACTCATAAAGAGTTACTTAAGATCTGTCAAATAGATTTGTTAGTAATTTAATGTAGTTGCATTTGTGCTTGTTCCAAGACTTTGTTCTTTTAAGAAAATTTTGAAATATTGTTTCAACGGGAGTTACTCAACTTGCTTCTTCAGCTCTGTACTAGCCAAACTCAGTTTCACTAACGAATTGTAGGCGACCTGGGCCAAACATTCAACTCTTTGTCCACACTGGAACACTACATGCATAGTGGAGCTCAAGCTGTCTTGTTTCTAGGCGATCTCTCTTATGCTGACAGATATCAATATAACGACGTCGGTGTGAGATGGGATAGCTGGGGACGTTTCGTGGAGCGTAGCACCGCTTATCAACCGTGGCTCTGGTCTGCAGGCAATCACGAAATAGATTACATGCCATACATGGTACATATCTTGAGTCATCTTGTATAAACTTACTTGTGTAAACATATAGGGTTTTAGAAAATTTGTAATAGTTGTGTTGTTCAAATGCTACATATATACATGTGCTTAAGAACGTAGGCTTAAGCTTCAAGAGAGAAATGAATTGGTTACATGAGTTTTGATATGATTAGAACATAGAAGAAAACGAAATCTTCGTTATAGCTCTAAGTTGTAACTTCTTACTATTCCGATTGGGCATTTGGCTTCTGTGTTTTCGTCCTGAGTTCTCAAGTATATACAACATTTACAGGGAGAAGTGACACCTTTCAAGAATTTCCTCCAGCGTTACACTACGCCTTACTTAGCTGCAAAGAGTAGCAATCCTCTCTGGTATGCTATTAGGCGTGCGTCTGCTCATATCATTGTCCTCTCCAGCTATTCTCCTTTTGGTAATGACATCCACTGCTTCTCATTTTTGTCTTCTTTACTTATAAATAAATGGTTGTAGATTTACTCCTACTCTTCCGAGTTTCGTGCAGTGAAATATACCCCGCAGTATAAATGGCTTGATGAAGAGTTTAAAAGAGTTGACAGGGAGAAAACTCCTTGGCTAATTGTTCTGATGCACATCCCGATATACAACAGTAATGAAGCACACTTCAAGGAAGGTGAAAGCATGAGAGCAGCTTTTGAGGAGTGGTTTGTTGAACACAAAGTTGATGTAATCTTTGCTGGCCATGTTCATGCCTACGAGAGATCGGTACTTGCTTATTACCATAAAAAAACTTCACACAGATTTAATATGCTTCATTATGTTTAGTAAAATCTTTGTGTTTTTGTTAATTTCAGTACCGGATATCAAATGTGCGGTGTAATGTCTCAAGCGGAAATTGTTTCCCGGTTCCAGATAAGTCAGCTCCTGTTTATATCACAGTTGGTGACGGAGGAAATCAAGAAGGTCTCGCCGGAAGGTGAGTTACATGATATAGTTAGCCTTGGAATGTGATGAGAACAAAGCTATGAAACTGTTTTCCTTATTCCAATTCGCGAAAACCAGAGACACTTGACTAATGATAGACTCTCTTGACTGAATGCCTAACCACACCGTGAAGCAACCTGCCGCTAGATCCTTATAAAGCCAACCTTCACTAACTCATATCTACATTTAGTCCTAAGCTAAGACATACTGGATTTTGTGCTACTGTACATCTTCAAAGCTGATCAGAATGATGATAATATCTGCCAAAGTCTCATATGCAGACTATTCTTGGAATGTGTATCAAGTTCCTTCTTGAATTCAGGTATTCTAATCAAGAATGTGGTATTCTTGGATTAGAATGTGACAAGACCGCTTCTTGTTTCAGGTTTAGGGAACCACAGCCAGATTATTCTGCATTTCGAGAAGCTAGCTACGGCCACTCTACTCTGGACATTAAAAACCGAACACATGCGATATACCATTGGAACCGCAATGACGATGGGAAGAAAGTAGCAACGGATGAGTTTGTGTTACACAACCAGTACTGGTAAGTTTGCCAATTCTTACCTTAACTAAACTTGAGTAACTTCATAGATGCTGAGCTAAGTGAAAACAATGCGCATTGCAGGGGAAAGAACATTAGACGGAGAAAGCTTAAAAAGCACTATATCAAGAGTGTTGTGGTTGATTGGATTGCCAGTTGATTCACTGTGTGTGTGCCTCATACTTTCTATCAAAGTATGTAAAGATGTCTTCGTGAATACTTATTACTTCTCTCCCCCTCTATTTGAATACTAATGAATTTGTTTATTAAATTTGACTTATGAAGGGAATAGAGTGGCCAGATAAGTAAAGCAATAAATTATTGTGTTTTATGAGTTGTTTTTTAAGTGACTTAATGGGTAACACCTCTAACCCAAGTTTTTGGCTTTCAAGCACAAGAGGCATCAGACAATAAAGTAATAAAATTTTGAACTTATTGACTATGTAAATATATAAATTAGATAATTATCATTAATTAGCAAGCAAGTTGTGCTATTGTTGAGAGTTGTGATGGTTAATTACTTTTTGCCTCTTATATGAATTTATTTTAATTATCTTTAATAAAATTAATTAAATTAAATCTTATATTTATTAAATATATACCGGTTTTTATGATGTAGTTTGGTTTAATTTGTTTAATTTATTGAGTTCGAACCCTAAGTTAATTTAATTTAGTTAGCTTAGCCGTTTGCATATTGATTTACAGGTAAACCTATTCCTTAAATTAATACCCTAATCCTTATGTTATATATACAATTAGCCATCTCTCGGTTATTTCATCATATTTTTAGCATTTTTAATTCTTCTTTATTTTTTTTTGTGTGTTTACTTTTCGATGGTTTTGTATCTCTACCTTAATATAGCTGATCTGTGTTTTGATGATGTAGATTGTTATGTTTTTAACGTGGTCTCTTTAGTAACGATTGAAAAATCACACAACATTGATTAACAAAGATGAGAGTTCGTCTAGAGATATGATACATCATAGGACCACATATTTTTTATTCTTTAGGAAAAACAAAGGACCCAACTTCGATTTGGGTAGAATTATGTGGCCGTCACTAATGTTTCAAAAGTACAACAAGTCTCCAACAACATAAAGTACAAAAGGCAAACACACTTTGTGAACTTTTAAATAAACGTATAGAACATCATCAACTCTTAACTCTCAGAAGATTGTTTCGAACTCTAAGACCGGAGTAAAGCAGGGTTTTTAACGTGTCTTAGGGTTATTTCTTTTTTTTGGTTAAGCGGATGGCCGTTCTCACAGCTCATTGTAAGTCATTCTATCCCCCTCATATTAGGCAGAGAAATATGCCATTGCTGTGCCGGAATATTCTGAATATGTTCAAAAAGGGGGTTAGTGGGAGACTGATTTAGGAAGATTTTAAGAATTCTAATATTCCATTGTTATTGGTGTAAGGATTATTAAATTCTTAATAAAATCTTATGTTATTAGTATGATAATTTAAGAATTCTTTTAAAATCCTGTGTTATTGATGTGAAAATTTTGTAATTATTTTTGAAAATCTGAGTTATTCAAAAAGTATAGTATTTAATGATTTTGTAATTCTATTAAATTTCAGTGTTATTGGCATAATGATTCTTTACATTTTAACTCATCATTCATAACTTTCAAAATACTATAGTCAGCTGTTGTATTCTCAAAGTTTGGATAGGAAAATTAAAAAATTATCTTTTTAATAAATAAAACATAAAAATTTCGAGTGTAAAATTTCAAAGCTTTCAGAACTAATTACAAAACCAGTTTTGTAACACAAGCAAAATATTGAATCCCGGTTTTTTTTCACAATTAATTACTATTATATTGCATACATTTGAGAAAGTTTTGAAGGATATATGTGTTCGATAAACTGAGGAGAGACGAAAATGGAGCCAAACTTTGAACCATGTTGGCCAAATACCGGAGAACACTTGCTTAACTGGTTTGTGTTAGAAGCGAGAGCTTCTTTCTCACAAAGAACACACCAAGGTTGTACTTGTTCCTCTGTTTTAATGCATGAAAAACAGAGTGTAAGAGAAACTTGTGTCTATTAGTGATTATTGTAAAATTGTGGAAAATATTGAACCCAGTTTTCGAACAAATGATCAACACAAAATATTGAACCCAGTTTTATAAATTAAAAGAACAAACAAATTATATCCTTCAAAAACTACCATATAAAATTCTAAAAAGACATGTTCTTCTTCTTCAATGATGCTCTCCGTGATAAGATTCTTCTTCTCCATGCTCTCTAAAATTGAATTATACCTCACCATTAATGTTGACTTCCAGTTTCCATTGCATCATTCCACATACTTAAAGCTATAGTGTCTCTCCAATTATTGGCGTACTCTATTTGTTGGGATTCAAGGGCGCCCACATGTACACTTTCTTCAAAGTTTACTTGTTCGTTGTTTGGGTTGATCACTTGTTCAGGAAAAGCATCCGACCGGCAATACTTACGTAGAAAGTTATGTAGTCCAACACAAGCTAAAACTAGCTCTGCTTGTGTTTTAAACGAAAAAGGAGGTGCAGACTTGAATATGAAAAAACGAGATTTTAAAATACCAAAAATTCTCTCGATGACATTTCTCAAAGATGCATGCCGCAAATTGAACAACTCGTTTTAGTTTTTGGGATCACGGCCTTCGCCTCTAAATTCTGTAAATGATAGCGAGTACGTCTGAATGGAGCTAAAAACTTTTGACGATTCGCAAACCCACAGTCTACCAGATAAAACTTTCCTGAAATTCAACGAGAACGTGATTATAGCAGTCAGAAAACCGGCAAATCCACAGTCTATTAGATCTATAGATACAATTTATATATACTACAAAGTACATACCTTCTGGAATGATCAATCTGCTATTGTGCCTTGTCAAAGCATTATTTAAAATTTTTGAATCATGAGCTAAACCTTCCCATCCACTAAGAACATATATGAAGTCCAGATCAAAGTTGCAAGCAGCAAGGACATTTTGTGATATGAATCCTTTGCGATTACGATAGCTAGGAGCATCAGATGTTGGTATCATCGCAAAAATATGTGTGCCATCAATAGCTCCGATATAATCCTGTAAAGATCAAAATAGGCTTTCCAATAAAACAATTGGATGAAGAAAACGTATCATAACTTCAATTATAGATGTACCTTGAAGTAGGGATAAAATCTTGTGCTCTCACTTATCTTTGCAGGTGTTGTAACTCCAGGCTTTGCCATCAAATCAGGTGCTATGGTATTCAATGCTCTTAATACCTTGTGAAAATTTTCACTGATTGTAAACTTTGATCTCCTGAATGTGTCCATTGTGTATTCATATTTTGAGCTTTGGCCGACAGTGAGTAAAAATGTGGCCACCATTTCTTCAACGCATATATTCTTAGTATCTCTTACACCTGCCTTCATTCTGATAAGATCACATAACTTTGCGAAGGAGGTTGGATACATACGATATACTGACCGAAAGTGATGAGGATCCTCTTTGAGAGCTTTTTGAATGTAATCATAACCAATAGTAGTGATCAGCCGACGAATGGGACGTTGAATGCGACTGCCATTCTTCAGATAAGCGTTTGCTATATTATTTAACATCAACAACACAATATCCAAATCTGATTCGTCTTCTTCCATTTGGTCTGTTTTTTCTTCAACATATGTATGTTCTTCTTCTTCAGTGATGCTCTCCATTATAAGATACCTACAAGAAGTTAATATTACACGAAGATTAGAAGTTATTTGAAAACTATAGAAATGTTTAGAAAACTAAATCGTGCAAAGAAAAACACTAACAAAAACGTTACATGGTATCACTATGTAAAAGACGTTGCACGGTATGTATCATCACAAGAAACCATCACAAACAAGTAACGATTATATTATGGTAGAAGCTAAAGAACTTTAACGAATTAAAATATCATTAAATAAAGCAAGCAAAAGATTCAAAACAGGTTTCAAATACTTGAAAAGAAACAAACCAAAAACAGATAATAAAAAAAAACCACTCAGAGCTAATACTGCTTTGGATCCAACCATAGCGTTCTTCTACCGACATATCAGTAAAGACATCTTTCATTCCCAATGAATAGATAAGGGTAACCGCTTTAAATTTGGTACGCTGGTCCAAGTTAGGAACCTCTTTCATGGCATCCCAAACACTGATTTTGTTCTTTTCAGCTTCTCTTTTCTCAACTTCCTTCTGTTGTCTTTCTTCTCTTTGTTGTATGACAGTAAGGATCTTATTGCTCACCATTACCATAGCATCAGTGTGATAATTTTTTATCTCATCTGAACTACTAAAGGCGTCCGTTCGAGATCTTTTTCTTGGGACATGTTTTTCTACACGCCTGTTGAGATTTTTTTCTGACGAAGGTGATGCAGCATATTCTGCTGATTGTTGCTCAGACGGTAGTACAAATTCATCACCATTGCTGTCATCAAAGTTCAAGCTTTCTTTTACTTGACTATCAGCAGTCTTGAACGTGCGAGCATCTGTGGTATCACCCAAACCAACTGAAGAGCCTCCATTAGCGATCGCACAATCAAATATGATTTTCAAATCCTCAAACTGGTCAATGGAGTCATATCGCAAAAACTTGTGGCTTGGATGTCCCTAAAAAAATGAAACAAATAACTTAAAATCAATAACAGTAAAATAAATTATTACACTGAAAACTATACTCATGATCAATTAGATATATCTAACAAAGACCTAAATCAGATTAAGAACATTTTTTTTCTAAACCAACTGAAATTAAAATAAAGTAAAGACAGACCTTCAAATATTCATTCCATACTTGTTAGAAGCTGTGAATTTTTTCATTACAGGATCTCATCCAAATCCTGAGCTGTTGTTTAAAAGATCCACATAACACTGATATTGAGATTTCAAGTACTTGATTCTGCTCAAATAATGCTTGTGGTTTTTTTGGCATCCAAGTTTTTCATTAAGCGCCGGTAATATTTTATGCTCCACCGTTGGTTTGTGCAATATACCATTCTGGTCACGCCATCCACGTTGAATTGACTCCACGAGTAGTTCTATCAAGACTTTGGTCTCCTCCGGACTCCATTGACTATACCGATTCTTTTCTTTATCACCCATTGCAATCTTATGTGAAAGCTAATCATAGTTAATTAGTATAATAAAAAAAAGTGTAAAACAATTATTTCTTACAATACTTTGAACAGGCACATCAAAGATTTCAAAGCTTTCACAACTTATTACAAAACCAATCAAATAGAAAATCAAAGATAATTTGAAAGCAGAAAATATAACAAACACTTTAAGTACATGATAGACTATAATGCAAAACTATAAAATGTATGCAGATTATGATAAGAAATAAAAAAACACTTGTATTACCTAGAAGATGAATGCGTGAAGCAATGAAAAAAACACAAGTCGATGAACTTCTTTATAAATAAATAAACATACCTTATCTGAATATATAGTATATATAAAATTCCTAGAAAAACATTATCATATAATTACTTAACTAAAAAAATAGAGAACTAAAATTAATATGAATCTACGAGAATCCATACAAATCTTGATAAAACTTTGTATATATTCTATAAATAGTGATGAACATAACTCTTACATTTTATACAAATCTTTGAAATTTTTCAAAATCTGTCTATTTTTAAAATCCACAAATATTCTTAAAATCTTGATAAATCAGTCTCCCACTAACCCTCCTTAGTTAATGAAACCCTAATCCTATCATAATTCTATGTATCCACGTCATAAAGTTTCGGTACAATTCAGCCGTATAAGTGATTGGTCCTATTCTGGTTTTTTGTATTTTTGCTCATGTGGATGTTTAATGACTTTCTCTCTTTGTGATAGGTCTCTTTGTGATAGGTCAATGTCGATCTATAAAATTATGTTTTTATTATAACTTTTATGTTCCATGTTTTCATATTTTTCTTCTTTTACTCGATGTTTGAGTTTGAGTTGGTTTTGATGTATTTCCTTATTTCTCTTTGGTTTTGTATCTCCTTCATAGAACAATCCATAGAACAATCCATATGGCATCGTTTTGAACATGGTAAATTGTAATCACCTTAAATCCATTGAAACATAAGCTGCCACCATTAGTTTGAGAACGTAACCTGCCAGTATTTCTTAATTAGAAACCCTGATCCTTTTCACTATATATATATTGTTTCCTTTGTTTTGATTATTTTGTATCTTATATTTTTTCTATAAATAGAATAAGAAAATCAGAAAAGAAGAACATAGGAAAAAAAACAGAAAAGAAGAAGCAGAAGATTAATAAAGAAAAATGGAGAAAAAGAGTAAGGACGAAGAAGGGGTGTTTGGCTGGTGAACCAGGCTTCAATTCTTTATCTTTTGTTTCCTTGACATATTGATTGGCTGGTGACACAAGACTTTTTATGTCTTGAGTGAACCTCATTGCACAAAATGTAGTACAGTAGAAAATGAGTTAATCAATCCAAGTTTAGAGTAGTATAAAGAAGATACATCCAAGTTTAGAGTAGTATAAAGAAGATACAACAGATTTGCAAAACTAGACAATAAAGGGTACAAATGGTTCACACTCAAACAAGCAATAAATGCAAACAAGTAACCAATGTAACCAAAACTTAAATGTAAACAAGAGCAATTCTAATAGCAAGCAAAATAGAGCCAAAACAGAACAATACTTAACAAGTTCGAAATATTAAAAGCAAGGTTCAAGACTAGGGCTTATGACTTAGGTGTTTCCAAATCATGATCAAAATACAAGACAAACAATCAGTGTAAACATCTCTAAGCAAGGAGTACTAATAAAGACTAATCAAATCTCTTGGTATTAATCTCTTTACTTATCATACTCCTAATCCATTTTCAATGGTGGAAACATAATCAGCAAGCATTAAACACAAAATCCATAAATCCAAAAAGCATCTTAGACAACTAATTCTTTAGGCTAAGCACATTAATCTGTTAGGCAATGATTTAAACACTAACTCATATTTCCATGCATATTTAATGTCTGATGGCAAATTAAGTACTTTTGCAATAAGATCAATCATGCAAGAAAGGATATATGCAATGAGTCATGATAATTAAACACCATTTTCAAGCTATGAACCTCATTCAAGCATTTTAACAAACAACTTGGATGCAAATTAAAAACGCCTAGGATCTATTTCTCATAAAGGGAGATACTTGGCCTTAAGCATAATCACATAAGAAGAGATTAACAAAGATCTAACATCCTAATCACCTTAATCAATCATTGAAACCCCACTAATCTACCCTAATCTCAAACCTAAAGTAGACTACTCATTAATTATGTTTAAATCTACAAGGTTATGGTTAAACATGATTACAAGTAGATAATAAACAAAGATAAGCAAGAAAGAACAAGACTTTAATTAAAAATAAACCCCAAGATCAAGCTTTTCTCTTAAAAAAAGTACTTACAAAAATAAGCAAAGGTTTTTGGTTTTAATGTGACAAAGCAATAATAAAGATAAGATAAAATATTTTTGGACCAAGCCTATTTATAGGAGAGATCCAAAATAGGTTTGGTCAACCTAGAATAACCTAGTCAACAAATTCAGCATTCGGTAAATAACCCAAAAATAGCTCGCACCGAGCAAGATAGAAAACTGGTTCTCCATGATGCGTGTGCTCGGTGTGCGCTGAAGAAGCTGCATGTGAAGGTTAGCTCGGCTAAGGTCTTGTCCTCGGTATGCACTGTGCACTGCATCGGATGATTCTCCTCGGTGTAGTCCTTGATATGTGATATATCATGGTTTTTATAGTTTTTAACCATGATATAAGTCCTTTTTATTGAGTCTTTTTGGTCTTTTTAGAGTCCTAGTAGAGTCTTTGTAGGTTATACCATGTCAGGAGCATAATTGGAGATATTGAAGCTTTTTGGAGCATTATAAGTTGAAGCCACAAAGTGTCCAGCTCGGAGAAGAAAGTATGCATTTGGGTGATGCTCGTCACCACCTATGGTGACGCTCGTCACCCACAAAGGAAGGAACATGGTTGATTTGTTAAAAGTATCCTGATTATTTGCAGAATTGACCCAGAAGTTCTAGTATTTGTAAGAAGGCCCCAAATCGTGTTTTAGCTTGTATATATTAGGTTTTCAGCCATTATTGGCTTTCATCTTAGTTTTTGGGAATTCACAGAGCTTAGAGAGGATTTTATTGAGAGCTTTTGGGGAGACAGATCCTGTACTCTTTTTGGAGAAGATTTCGAACCCCCTTTGTTTTTATTCTATTCTCTTAATGCAATTTTACTTCAGTTATGTTTTGTGATTCCATGATCATGTCTGAGTAATTTTCTAGTTAGGTTAGGGCTTTTCAAAGGTTGATGAAGAGTTTGTAGAATTGCTACCTGTTGGTATTATCTTCTTGTTCTTCATCTCTGCTTGCTTTAAAATCGAATTTCTTAGACACATCATCTAGAAATCTGAAAATCATAGGTTGTTAAATATATGTGAAAGCATTATTGATGACCTGAATTAGTATTTGATGAGCAAAACAACTTAGTGCAAAGAGATTTGGCTTAGGATTTTTGTGAGCAATTGAACATGATCATTACTGCATGTTTAGATTGTTAGGGTTTGCAAAGAGATTTGAAACTCTGTGATTTAGACATAGATAACTTCTGCAATGAGAATTGATTAGTTATATATTTGGGTTTCATGTTCAAGACGGTTCTTAATCATTCCTGATTTTATGCATTCTACATTCTCGGATTCAACCTGCGAATTGTCCTGACTTAGCGTTTTTAACCTTCTAGAACTTAGATCAACAACCAAATTTCGTTTGCTTTCTATTATTTTATCATTCGCATTACATACACCATTTATTGCTTAGCTTAATCTGAACCTATAATTGATAGTGTAATTTACATACTCCTTTGGGATTCGATACCTCTTATACTACGACTGCTTTGCTGTGCACTTGAAGTAGTTAATATTTGGGTAAAACCTGAGCCCTATCAAGTTTTTGGCGCCATTGCCGGGGAGTAATAGCTGTCTATCGATTTTTAGTATTAGGATTTTGTCTAAGTTTTAATTTGTTTACTAACTTTCTGTTTCTTTTCTTTGTGCTGGTTTCAGGTGTATGCATAATCGCAGTACCAGAAGCAACAAAGAGAATGAGCTTGTGACCTTGAGCATCGACGAACTTGCTAAGTTGGAGAGGACCATCAGGAAAACTAAGAAACAGTCTACTATGGTTGCTCCACTGATTTTTGTTGAAGATGCAGAATGCCATTTGGTTGACAGAGAGGGAAACAGGAGGAACGAAGAAGGGCAGAGAATTGATCAAGATGGGAATGTCATTGTTGAAAAGCAAGTTCAACAAGTGGGACAAGACGCTGGAGTTCCTGCTGCTGCTAATAATGCTGCTGGGCGTTTTGTTCAGAGGACTTTAGGAGACTACAACAGACCTGATCAGTTCTATGCCAACAGAGCTGCAATCCGCCTTCCTGCTCTCCAGAGGAATGATTTTGAGATTAAGCCTGCTTATTATCAGCTGGTGGGACAGTATCCTTTCCATGGCTTGCCTCATGAGCATCAAATGGATCATATTGAGAGATTTGAGGATTTGGCTTCAAGTGTCAAAGCTAATGGATTTAGCAATGACTTCCTGTTCTGCAAGCTGTTTCCTTACTCACTTGGAGGAGATGCTGCATTCTGGCTGAAGCAACTAGAGCCTGCTTCTTTGACTACTTGGGAGGACACCAATAATGCCTTTCTGAATAATTTTTATGATGATGCTAGATCAGAGGACCTGAGGACGAAAATTGCATCATTCTCTCAAGGTCTTACTGAAACTTTTAAGGCTTCTTGGCTGAGATACAAGTTTTATCAAAGGGACTATCCTCATCATGGTTTCAGTCAAGTGCAACTACTTGGGATTTTCTTCAGATGCATTGATTGAAAGTATCAGATGGCGCTGGATGCAGCTAGTGCTGGAAACTTCAACACTAACATACCAGAAGAAGCAATCAGATTGATTAAAAACTCGGCCTGCAGCAACAGCACCAACAATGCAGATTTTCAGAGAATGAAACAAGCTGGTTTGAACGATGGGAATCAGATTGCTGAAGTCAAGGCTAAGCTGGACAGTATGCACAACCTCTTGGTGGGAAAGAAGTCAGTTCATTTTGCTGCAGAGGTGGAGACTTTCGAAAAATCAGAGGAGATTGAGCAGGAAGATGTAAATTTCATCAATG